TGGATTGTGTTTAGATAAAGTTAGACTTTTTATTTGTGACTTTAAAAAGAGTAAAAGTTATTATATTAGCTAAGACTCAGTGGGATGAAGGTTGGAAGTCACTTCCTTATTATTGAATTTGTTGCCTTTTCCTTTTTTCTTTTCTTTTTTTCTGAACCTTCTGAACTTTTTTCTTCTTGTTTGGTTCTATTAGTTTATACCATGTTTATTAAAAACTAAAATAAAATTAAAAGAAAAACTGAGAATTTAGGAAGAATCTATGGATGGAAATCCTAAAGGGGAAAAAACTCAAGATACTTGGGAAAATCTGAAAAATGAAATTATAACAACCCAATCTAACATAGTATCACAAGAGAAAGAAAACAGGAGACCGCAAACAAAACCACCAAGATAGCATAAAGAATCTCTGACAAACTGAGAGAAAAAGAGAACAAGTATTAAAAAATGAAAAGAGGGACCATAAAACAATACCAGCAAAATGCCTGAATCAGCAATGACAAAGACAGGAATGTTAAGACTTAAAGTGAACTAAGACTTGTAAAAAATGCTAAAAATAATGTTTAAAAGTTTAAACATGTAAGAAACAAGAAAAAAAATTCAAGGAAACAATCGATCTAATGGGAGAAGATGGCAAGGAGGTGACAGGCACCAAGGAAAAAGCAGATTTTTTTCAATATATCAAGAAGCACTGCATTATAGAGCCTGAATATCATTTTCTTGATGATGCCAATCATATTAACAGTTGATGCCACCCTCAAAGTTGGAAAATGTTCAGGAAATAAGATTCTCATGGATAATTATTCAACATAAACACAAAGATGTCCAATTAGTACTAAATAATAATAATAATAATAATAATAATAATAATAATAATAATAATAATAATAATAATAGTAAAATTGGAAGGGACCTTGGAGGTCATCTAGTCCAACCCCCTGCTCAGGCAGGAAATCCTATACCATTTCGGACAAATGGCTGTCCAGTCTCTTCTTAAAAACTTCCAGTGTTGGAGCATTCACTGCTTCTGGAGGCAGGTTGTTCCACTGGTTAATTGATCTAACTGTCAGGAAGTTTCTCCTTAGTTCTAGGTTGCTTCTCTCCTTGATTAGTTTCTAATCAAGCCGTTGCTTCTTGTCCTGCCTTCAGGCGCTTTGGAAAATAGCTTGACTCCCTCTTCTTTGTGGCAGCCCCTGAGATATTGGAACACTGCTATCATGTCCCCTCTTGTCCTTCTCTTCATTAAACTAGACGTACTCAATTCCAGCAGCGTTCCTTATATGCTTTAGCCTCCAGTCCCCTAATCATCTTTGCTGCTCTTCTCTGTACTCTTTCTAGAGTCTCAACATCTTTTTTACATTGTGGTGACCAAAACTGGATGCAGTATTCTAAATGTGGTCTTACCAAGGCATTGTAAAGTGGTATTGAACACTTCACGTGATATTGATTCTATCCCTCTGTTAATGCAGCCTAGCACTGTGTTGGCCTCTTTGGCAGCTGCAGCACACTGCTGGCTCATATTTAGGTGATTGTCCACTAGGACTCCGATGTCCCTCTCACAGTTACTACTATTGAGCAAGGTACCCCCTATACTATACCTGTGCATTTGGTTTTTCTTGCCTAAATGTAGAACCTTGCTTTTTTCACCATTGGATTTCATTTTGTTAGATAGTGCCCAGTGTTCAAGTCTGTCCAGATCCTTCTGTATCTTAAGCCTGTCTTCTGGAGTGTTGGCTATTCCTGCCAGCTTGGTGTCGTCTGCAAACTTGATGAGTTCCCCATCTATCCCCTCGTCCAAATCATTGATGAAGATGTTGAAGAGCACTGGGCCCAGAATAGAGCCCTGGGGCACCCCACTACACACTTCCCTCCATGTAGATGCAGTTCCATTGAAGACCACTCGCTCAGTACGGCCGGTCAGCCAGCTACGGATCCATCTGGTAGTGATGCTGTCTACCCCACATTTTTCTATCTTGTCAAGTAGTAGGTTGTTGTCTAGTTTATCAAATACCTTACTGAAGTCCAAGTAAATTATATCCACAGCATTCCTCTGATCCACTAATTTTGTCACTTGGTCAAAGAATGCAATAAGATTTGTCTGGCATGATCTATTTTTGACAAACCCATGTTGGCTTTTAGTAATGACTTTGTTTGCCTCTAGGTGTTCGCTGATTCGTTGTTTGATTATCTTTTCCAGGGTCTTCCCAGGTATTGAGGTCAGGCTGATAGGTCTGTAATTTCCTGGGTCCGTTTTTTCCCCCTTTTTTGAAGATGGGAACTACATCAGCTCTTTTCCAGTCCTCTGGTAGTTTCTCACTTACCATTTTCTTGCCTATCTTAACTTGTGTTTCTATTCTGTTTTTTTATGGCACTATTTTTGATAGGTTGGTCTGTTTTTTCCATTTGTGTAAAGACAGATGCAAAAAACGAGTTAAATAATTCTGCTTTCTCCCTGTTGCTTGTCATCTTCTTGCCACTTTCACCCACTAGTGGACCAATCATTTCCTTCACTTTTTTCTTGTTTTTTACATATTGAAAGAAGCTTTTTTTATTATTTTTGACTTTGGTCGCAAGCCTTAGTTCATTTTGAGCCTTAGCTTTCCTCACTTCATCTTTGCAGGGTCGGGTTATTTGCTGATATTCTGACTTAGTTATGTGCCCCTCTTTCCACTTTCTATACTTGTCCTTTTTATCTTTCAATTTGTCAGAGAGTTCTTTATGCAGCCATGCTGGTTTCTTTTGAGAGCTGTTATTTTTCCTCTTTGTTGGTATTGTGCTAGACTGGGCTTTTATTATCTCATTTTTTCAAAATTTTCCAAGCTTCTTGAGTTGTTTTCCCCTTGAGGATTCTCATCCATGGAATCCTTCCCAAGCCCTCTCTAAGTTTATTGAAATTAGCTCTCTTGAAGTCCAAGACTCTAGTTTGACTGTGTTCTATTGCTTGTGCTTCCATAATGTTGAATTCCAATATTGCATGATCACTTCCTCCCAGGGTTCCTATGGCTTCAACACCT